TTCTAGCAGATCAACACTTCCCCCCAGCTTATATCCTTAATATCTTGCTTCGTTGAAATGAATATGTATATCCTGTTGCTCCTCAGAAATGAAAATAAATATCTATAACCTGTCATCATCTGGAATACAGACAAGACCTTAAGATTAGTTGCTGTCAGCGTGGTTATGCTGTAACAAATTCAGGACTGCAATTTCAAATGAGAACTAAGGAACGTAGGAGCCAGATGTCTGTCTGAGTGCAAACTTCTAAGATGATAAAGTAAAAAAGGAAAATATCTGATATAGAATAAAAGAAATTAAGTGATATTTTTCCCTCAAAATTTTTTGAAGGAATGATTACAAGTAACAATCTTTTTTTCCTGTGTAGTTTGTCTTCTGAGCTTGCTCTTTACAGACTTGCCAGTTGCTAACAATTACAAGATAGATGGGGTTGGAAGGGACCTATGGAGACTGTCTTTTCCAGCCCTTTTGCCCAAAGCAGTGTCAGGTAGAGCAGGTTGCTCAGGACATTGTGCAATCTGGTTTTGAGTAGATACTCAAAAGGACAGAGACTCCACAGCCTCTGGGCAACCTGTTCCAATGTCTGACCACTTTCACAATAAAAAGTTTTTTTTTTTTGTTTAGATGGAATTTCCTGTATTTCAGTTTATGCCATTGCCTGTTATCCTTTTACTGGACACCACTGGTTGTATCCTCTCTATTCTTCCTGTCAAGTATTTGCATACATTGATAAGATTCTTCCCCCAGCTTTCTCAGCCTCTTCTTGTAATCTTTATTAATAATAATTTCACAAGCACTAGCATGTTTTATTCTTTGCAAATGACTATTATTTGTCATTGAGTTCTCAATTCACAGAAATTCTCTGACTTGAGTCACATTAGCAAAGCCATTAGAGCCCACTCGCCACTGGGCCACCTTCTTCTGCTTGAGCTTGTGTTTTTTTGAACTTGTTAGTGCTTACCAAATTTCACAGAGCAACAATGCTGCTGAAGTTCTTACAAGTTTCTGTGAGACCATGCAGCCAGATGGGGATAAAGAAGTGTTGCTATACTCTCACTGAGGTCCAAGGAGCTACCAAGCTAGCTTAGCCTTTAGATAGTTCTGACGCATCTAGGGGATCAATCTTGATGCAGAGCTAAAGAAATCTAATTGTAATTGGCTTCATTGCCATGGAAGTGCTTGTGTGGATTCATTTGTCCATGAACACTGCCTGTATATGAAGACAGAGTATTTAGCATTTACTTCTGATAATACAGAATGTGAGATTTAAATTCCTTTTGAATAGTGTTTATTTCAAGCAACCGATAGTTGAAATAACCAAAATCTTACTAGTATCTGACTGAAGCAAGACAGTCAACTTCTAAATAAGTGTCTCTATGGAAGTATTGATGCATATTTTAATGTGCTATTGTATTTTTAAATTTTTCAGATCCCCATTAAACTTATACAGTATCACAAGGGGATTCTATTTTAGAATATTTATAAACTATTAATATCTAAAAAGTGTTCATCTTGTCCAATTTGCCTGTCACAGTTTCTGTTTGGCCTCTGCTATTGTTTGAGGGCAATATGAAATTGTATCAGAGGGGTGCCTCTCCAGTGAATAATGAAAGGATTCCTTTATATTGTATCATACATCGTTTTAAAAGACCTTGAAAAATTGGAGAAATGGATTGGAAAAACATGTCATGCCATTCAGAATCAGTAAATGGGATACATAAAATGGATTAATCTGAGGCACATGAATAATACTTCAGTTCTGCCCCATACTGGTAAAAATGTGTTTGTAATGCCATGTCCAGTTTTGAACACTTAAAGATGTGGACAGATTGGATGGAGTCCAGAAAAGTGCAGTAAGAATGATTATAGATTTTGCAAACAGGACCTACAGGAAAAGATGGAAAGAATTGAGGTTGTTTAGTCTAGAGAAGAGAAATTTGAAGGGGAGGCGGTGTAGCTGTCTTCAGAGACATAAAAGGAGAAAAAGAAGACTCTTTTCTCTGCAACCAATATGTAGTGAACCTAAACAAGAGCAAAGCAAAACTAGGTTAAACACGAGGACAAACTTTGAGGTAGGATAATGCAATGGTAGAATAAATTGGCTGCTGAGAAGCTACAGAACTTCCATCAGCAGAAATATGGGTGGGTTTGGGGAGACTGGTTTGTTTTTAAAAAACAGGTTATTGAAATGTGCTTCAAGAATAAGAGTGCAGTTGACTCAGCTTTGAAGCAAGGGATGGTCTAGATGATGCTTCAGGTCTCTTTCAACCGTATTTTCCATGATTGTCTCAAGTATGTAACAAAACAAATTGCTAGTGAAAGTAGGGAGTGGCATTTTTCATGAGCAGAAGCAGATTGCACCGTAGGGATCGTGAGGTGGCCTCTGGTGAGTGGCTGCTTGTGTCCTCCAGTATTTACACCCCTGTATGACATAGTTATCTGTGTGTGTTTGCCAGGATTTTTGTCAGTGATTTTCATGGATAAAAAATAGTGTCAGTGTATGAGAACAAAATGTTTTTGCCTACTGCAAACTTGTTTCATGTTATGCCATATATTTCTGTACTATAGAATATAAAAATATTGCAGAATTTTGGAAACCAATGCAATCAAGTGTAACTTGAAAGCTCTGGTAGCTCCTTGACTACTCTTTCCTACTTCCTATTCTTCACTTTCCATCCTTTTTTTTTCCTGGCAGTTTTAACTGTCCCGCTATTTACATAAGCAATGTATGTGTATGTGCCTTATGTTTTTGTATATATACACATTCCTTCCTCCAAAAAAAGAGGACAGTTTTGCTAATATTCAATGTTTGTTCTGGCTTTTTATCATCTGTCAAATTCACAATGTTGTAGAGCATTTGAAAGCCAGTGGAATAAATTCAGAGCCACAAGCCTTGGTATGTCTAGGGATTTATGGTTTTTATTACCTTTTTTTAAAAATTAGAATTCTTTCCAAAAAGAGAATCAGGGATTTTCTAACTGGGAAGAAAAATCCAAGCACGAAGATACAGAGTTAGACAGCTTGTGCAAAATCTTAAGAAGTTGTAGTTTGAAAGTCACCTAATAGAAATCAGCAGAATTACCTTGTTAGATGCAGTGATGTATAGCAGTGAATCCTTTCAGCGTTTCTTTCTTAAGGCTTCTAAATTGCGTCAAACAGGAGGACGAAGTGTTCTGTACACTGATTTGACCTTGTTAAATTGCGGCATTTCCTTACTTACTTTTCCACCTAGAGCAGTGTTACTCAGTCACCAGGCCAAATGAACCTAAAGCTCCCTCTACTGTTGGACTTTGTGTTTGTGAGGATGACTGTGTTAGATTTCAGTTCGTCTAAAAAAACCCCGTATTTCATAGTAGAAAAAGAAACATCTGCTTGTACAATAGCTGGTAAGGTTTCTGCATCACAGACAGAAAGAAATGAGGTGCAGAATGTAAATCAGAGTTTTCAGGCTATTAACATTTTGAAGTAACACCTTCATTTGTTATCTCTCTGATAATCATACAGTACCACTGAGAACCTCACATATTACATTAATGGTATATGCTAACATCCAGCTATTGAACAATTTCTGTAGTAGTATACATCGCAACTGTAAGATTTTACAGAGGCAAATTTTGATTCTGATATTTCAATTCAAGCATATAATGAAGAAATAGCATCACAGTAATCCATTCATTTCTTCAGTGAAGTTTTATCTTGAGTATAAAGAACTGATTTTTGCTTTGAAATAGTCTACATAAATTATTGACTTTCTTCATAGATGCTTTTAGAACCATCCATATTATAATAAATTTAGTCTTCAAAGGAGCTCACCAAAGACTGTACAGATTCAAGTTTAACATCCAGGATAATTGGGAAAAAACCTCTATCTGCACTACTTCGTAGTGATTCAATACGATGCTGTAGGGGGATATCCAAACTACCTCCATTTAAGCAGCAGGGCATACTGTCTCACGTGAGGTGCAGTGCTCGCACAACTGGATTGCGCATGTATGTGGTGTAACCTAGCGCCATCTTTGTTACCCCAAAGGCAAGCGTTGCTTTGAAATGTAGTTTAGTCAGTCTTGTGTCATGATGATTTAAGTATTTTCTAGTGAATGTGAACATCTGTGTAGTCAGCAGCCTTCTAAGAGGGAAAGTCTTTTCAGGAAAAAGTATCAAATGTGAATATTAAGAACAGCTATAACATTAATGCTTCATTTATCTTGCAGGAGAAAGTGGATGCTCTCAGAGCAGTATCAGCCACTCAGCTGTACAGGAGAGGACAGTCAGTGTACACAGTCCAAAGAAATCAGGCAAGATTACTCCAAAATTTCACAATCGTATGGTTCACCGCGTCTGGAAGGAATGCATTCTCAACAGGTCACAGTCCAAGTAAGGCAGCAGTCCTGATGGTTTTGTTTTAACAACACAGACTATATAGTTAAAATTGTGATAGTTTTGCCCTAGATAATGTTATTCCTCACAGAATTCTTTTGCCACTAATCAAAGCTAATGATGCAGAACAGCATTATCAAAGAAAATTCATTACTGTGTTCAGCTGAAAACTCGTATCACTTAGCATTTTATTTGCAGTTGTGTATCTTAATTGTGACAGTCTTTGAGGTTACAAGTCTATAATATGTGCCTTCAGCAAGATGCTTTCAGATTTATTGATTGCAGTTTCTAGCTCCAGTTGTAGTTACTAGATTGAAAGTTGGGTGACTGAAGAACAAATAGTGTATATTTAATATTTAGAACTCTAAGGGTAGTATTTGTAAAGCATTACATTACATGTGTTGACAAGGATATGGTAAAGTCATGTTGTTAGTTTCACAGGCCCTTATTACTGGAGGTTTAAAGTATATTCATGACATGGTGTGCCCTGAAATCAGTATTTTCACTATTTCAATGCAATTGGAAATACGTCAGAAGAATTTCCAGGTTCAGTATAAATTGCTTGCTCTTTGCTTCTTCTGCTCAAATGCCAGACAGAGCTATATGATGTAGAGCTGGTACCATCCAACCACAAAAATCAAATGACCCATTTTACAGTGGGCCCTGCAGTTGAATATAGGATTCTCTTTCAAAGGTGTAGTAGAAGGAAGTAATTTATTTGAGGGGAACATATATGATTTTGCATATGCATTTTTAAAGTTTTGTTTTAGAAAAGGTGATAGCTACTAAAATAATTGTATCTTCTCCAGGAGAAATCAAATTACAACGACAACTTTGGAAGAGGAAGTTCCTAACAATGCTGTTTCTTGGGATTTTGTGGATCCAGTCCAAAGAGTCAGTTGTTCTTGTTCCAGGTGAGCTTTGAAGAGTGTAAGCATTTTTCATATTGGTGGAGCCCTGTTTAATTCACACAGCGGTACACTTACAAAAGAGAGTTATGTTTTAGTTGAGAGAAGAGGAAACTCTCATATCAGACATATGATCATCACTCATATTCAGGTGATTAATATGCATCTTGTATCATTGTCACTTGCAGTAGTCAGCTTGAGTGGAAAAATGATCCTGCACTAGAGAATGGAGGCTAGAATCACTCAAACATTTCTCGTTTGTAATGAACTTGTCCTTCAGGCTTTTCAGAGACGTGAGCTTTCAAGTTTGAAGTGGTAAGACTCATGATGGAGAGGCTGCCTACATTTCAGAGCATAATGATTGAGAGATAGTGCTACTGTCCCTGTTTGGAGGAAGAGGAAAAAGAGCCCTAAGAATCACTTTACTCCATGTACCTCTAAGCAAACTGCCATGATTCATCAGACACCAAAAAACACCCAAGAGAATGTAAAACCTTTGCAGCATGGTCATCCCCTATCAACTGATCAAAAAGAAGTCACAGCTTACTTCCACAAACACTTGAGATAATTTGAAATTAAATTATTATTCATCTTTGATGAATGCTTAAAGTTCCAGTACAACTCACTCAGGAAAGGCAACCCAGCACCACTAATTTTGCTTAACACTATTAAAATTATCACATGTTACAGGGCTAGAAAAATAACAGTTTCCAATGAAATAGTCTTGTGAAATGGCTTCTGCTGAAATTTTCAATTCTACTTGTAAGACTGGTAAATATGTTTTTATGACCTAAAGAAGTTATTCCGTAAGTACGCACAGATGTAAATGTTTGTGTGATCAAACAGAAATGCTGACTGTGCCATGCTAAGCCCTTTGGTATTTTTTTTCCCCCTACCTCATCTCCCCACCCCTCCCCAACTACCGTAAGAGTATTTGCCAGAATAATAGTCAACCCTGCAGCCAGTGGTGTGGCTGAAATTATGCTCTGCTTTTTGCCTGGCGGAGGCATAGCCGTTTTTCTTTTTTCTTCTTTATTTTCCTTTCAGCAGCAAGGCAAACTCAAGAATAATGTTGCTGTTAATAACAGTAAAATTAATATATTGTCTAACCAGATTCTTGAATGTGTTACCTGCCACAGTAGTCTCTGAAGAGCTTTGTGTATAGATTTGGCTGTACAGAGAAATTTAGGGATGTAGCGTTCTCACAATCCCTGAATTTCCGTTGTCCAAAACTGAAAGAAGCAAGACTGTGTCCTTGTACCTTTTGTGTTTGACATCTCATGAAGCCAGTTCTGCTTTGTATATTTAGAAGAAGAGATAATGGGATGCAGAGGAATTGTGCCTCATGTGGTGGGCAGAGTGTTCAACCTGGAGGCTCTGTGCTGTATCTGAAGTGAAAGTGTTGCTCTTCTGCAGCCTTGCTCTTTGCCCCAGTTGCTTGTTGCTTGTATGTATACACTCAAGAATACATCTTTTGTCACGATGCCAAGTGTTTCCTATGGAAAACTGAGGTCCAGCCTTGCCTAGAAAGCATGGGGAATCAGTAGTGGCCAATGGAAACCTGAATCTATGGAAAGGTTCAGTTACACTGGCAATTTCACACTGTCGTAACACCTCCAGTAATAACTACTTCATGCTGGAGTTAGTAAATACAGCAACTGGGAAATTAAAACACTAAAATGAAGGTGGTACCTGGTTTCAAACAGCAATTAAAATTTCCTGTATAGGTACAGAAAGTGGTCAGCTGCTGCTCTATAGATACAGTTTTAGTCATTACTGTGCCCATTCTATGTCTTGTATAAAAAAGAGTATTAATATGGAGTGTTAAAGGGTTGTCTGGTACTTGGCATCAAATTCAATCTTCTCTAGACCCAAATTTGTGTGTTGAACAACAGACTCTAAAATAATTTTCTGCAGTCAGATAAAATACGGGGAATGATGGAGAATGAAGTTGATGAGACGTTGCAAGAACTTGCTTAAGGCAAATCTTGAGTTACTAGGGCATTAGCTCCCCATCATGGACGATTGCAGCTAAAGACCATCTGCTGTGGCAGAGAATTTGTAGCGTGGCCTGAGAACAGCAAAGCCCACAAAGAATGCCAGGACAATACCGCACAACATGTGTGGTTATAGGAAAAAGATGTAGCAAGTCCAAAAAGTTGTATTTGTACCATTTGACAGCCACTGTGCGCTATAAGACTCAGATGTTTTCATTGCTAAGTCATAAAAGCAGAATTTGTTCTTCAGTCTAGTAGTCCAGTTTACTTGTGATAATGTAGTTTATCTTTGTGAGTAAGAAGCATATTGCATGTTTTGAAATGTTCTGTTGCTGTCCTAGATATTGTTCCTTATAAACAAAACTAGGGATCGAGGGATTTATTTTGAAATTATATATAACTTTAAATTTTAAAATACTAAGCACAATACGTTTTTCAATTTGTGCTTAGCTTAAAAAAAAACAACCAAACAACTAAAGAACTAAACAAAGAACCCCCAACAACACAAAAGGCCAATAGAAATATGGACAGTTTGATTTGTCAGCTGTAACATCCTCGGGGACCGTCAGCTATATGATGAAAATAGTGTTTAACAGTACTTGAAATGCTGAAATTCAGTCCTGTGCTTTCCAGTCTGAGATACTGGATACAAATTGAAAAAAGCCATATTAAAATATGAAGCCAGTAGTAAGTTTGTATATTACTGCATTTTTTCAATATTTGTTGTTGTTTGGTTTGGTTTTGTACTTATTTTTCCTTACCTAACATGGAGGAGGAAACTGCCATGGAAGCATCCTGCTGTGTATGGTGTCTGTGAACATAACTAAAACAATTCTGATCTGTATCTTTAGTAACAGATGCTCAAGAGTGTGCAAGTGTAGTGGTGTAGTTCCACAGCACTCTTTTTGTTTGAAAGGCCATCTCTCTTTAGGGTAATGAAAACAACAGTAACTTGGAGTTTTTTGTTGTATCACCTTCCATCTGAGCAGTACTAAGCTTTTATAAACACGAAATCTTTCCTTTGAATGCTATTCTCTGGAGACTGTAATTTTTCATTTTATAGGTCAGAGAAACTGCAGCCGAGTTGGTCCAGATGATGTGACCATTCCAGAATCCGATAAAAGATCAGGAATAGACATAAGATTTCTCAGTGCTGTTCTTTGTTGGTTTGTTCTTTCTTTCCATTAGGTCAGATAACCGTATAAACCATGCAGTGACTTCTTTCTGCCTCTGCTTTCAGGCACAAGGTTTTCAAACAGCGTTGTGCTGCTGGCTCCAGCCGTCCCCCAATGATAAATCAGCCAGGATTCAGTGTGGGAACATCATCATCTTCGTCATTGCCACCTCCTGCCTCTTCAAAGCACAAAACAACAGAGAGACAGGAAAAAGGAGATAAACTGCAAAAAAGGCCTATGATGCCATTTCACCATCGGCCCTCTGTGACTGAAGAGCTATGCATGGAGCAGGACACGTCGGGGCAGAAACTGGGATTAGAAGGAATGGAACCCTCCTTGGAAGTCCCTAATGCCAGAGAATACGAGAAGCCGCTATCTCTACCTGCTAGAAATCCAAGCAAGCAAATGAATATGAATCCTATGGATTCACCCCATTCCCCCACTTCCCCTCTGCCTCCCACACTGAGCCCCCAGCCAAGAGGTCAGGAAGCAGAGAACCTGGACCCCCCGTCTGTACCTGTAAACCCAGCACTCTACGGCAGTGGGCTGGAGCTGCAGCCGTTGCCCAGCTTAGACGATAGGACAGTCCTTGTTGGACAGAGGTTACCTCTGATGGCAGAGGTCAGCGAGACAGCATTATACTGCGGGATAATTCAGAACAACGAGTCACTGGATGTATGGAGGACCTATAGTGTCCCATCAAGTGATGATCCAGAGTTCAGGCCACCAGATCTTCCGTGTGAGAGATACGATGCCAAGATGGAAATCAACTCGGACAGCACTGCACTGAAAAGGTAAGAGTGCAAATTGATCTGAGTGGTGGTTTTAGTAAATGAGGAACATGACCAAACTCTATTTTCAGTTGAAACTGAAACAAGTAGAGGGCTTCACTGTAACATCAGAGGTTATGTACGCTGGAGATAACATTAAATGCTTGAATAGAAATGTGCTGTTGTAGTATGCCTTGGTTTTTTTCGTATCTGTCTTTCAGCTGGACGTTATAAGAACTGATAAATCTTTTTAACCTATATTGCAGTAATTTGAGCAAATGTAAGAGTTTCATTGAGCTTATGTCTTTTGATCATTTATAAAAATGAAAATCTGTGCTTAGTTATGCAACCTTCCTGCTACATAAATGCTTGGTTTGGAGTGATATTCTATTTATGGCACTTCAGTGTGGTTTGTCCAATTGTGTGGGTTTAAAATTGCACTGTACCATGTTTTCTGTAAGTAGTAGCTGATATTGTATTATGGAATAATGCTGTGTTTTTGTAAACACACTGTCGATTCTTTGAAATTGATAGAAGCTTTATTATTAACTTCAGTCTCTGTAGGATTGAAACTGAAAACCCTAACAGTCTTCCTGGTCTGTACACAGAGAAGAGGAAATACGAATCTCTCATAAATGTTACTTTAGAAAAACTACAATTTACATATAGTGTCTTCCTCAGTGAAGCACATGAACTACTTTAATTTTAAGGAATTTTTAGCTATCTCTTTTTTATTTTTATAAACGTGGATTTTATTTTATGCTAGCCCAAAAATTACTTTTGCATTCTGACAACGCATAGAAAAAATGTACCGCAGAGAGTAGTTAATGAAAATGTATAAGCTAAAATTAATTGAGGAAGAATTTTTGAGTTATGACAACATTGATTTTGGGAATTACAGTGGAATTTGCTAGGCTGAAAAGGTTATGTGTACTTCAAAGTGTTATGATTTATATAGTGATAAGATTGATTCTTTTTTCATTGTCTGAGAACAAAAGTTCTTAATACAGTGAGATGTTTAATACTACATGCAGGCAAATGCATCCTTTATATGAGGAAAAAACATTTCTGCTATATCAAGGACGACAGAGTGAGGCATGGGCTGTGTTTGTGTGTGACAGCTACAGATCTTAAAAGCTGTTATTTCTCTTTGCTGCAAAAAGTGTGTTTGTTTTGTTTCATGACAGCTTTGTTGCGTGTTTGTTTTTACTTTCAGGCTCTTAGCACAACCTAATAAACGGTTTAAAATTCTGGAAGAGCAGAAACCAGTGCAGACACTGAACTATCTTGATCCCTTGCCTCTAATACAACAACCTGGAGAAGGCTTGGGAGATGCTAGTGATCCTTACACTTTTGAAGATGGTGATATAAAGTACAGCTTCACTGGCAATAAAAAATGCAAACTTGGTGCTGAGAAAGATCCTTTGAAAAAGAACAAGGTAACGCCTAAATCCAGAGTCTTTATCGTTAACATTCTTATTGGACTTCTAGTACCGCAGCACAATATTTGCTTTTCATCTCTCAGGATGACACAAGCCTGTTCCACAGATCAAAATCAAAGAGACGAGGTATTTCTTTCCTGCATTGGCTCACAGGAAAAAACTTCATTTCTCTGTGGCCATTTTTTGAACTGGTGTTTGCTGGCATCCATCTGAACCTGCTTGTATATGAAAACACTGCTGTTGCAAGAAATACTTCCTGTTTATAGATATTCAGCTTGACCAGCAGGATGTTCCAGATTTAAGCTAAGAAATAAAATATTTTGAGCCTTGTATTTGCTTGCAGAGATGAAAGAATTTACTGGGCAATTTTTGTTTTTTTTTTTCTGCTTGCTTTAGCTTGTCATATCCCCTCACCGCAAATCTCAGATCTCTCCAGCGCAAGTTTATTTATTTATTCTTTCCTTGGGCAAAATCAGTGTAGCCTTCTGCTGAGAGGACTGGTGGCAGGGATGCTATATTCATTTGAACATTTCCTTAGAGGTGTTCTTCCATGTGTGAAAGAAAACAAGTTGATCACCGTTCTGTGGTCATCACCTGCGCTGTGTGCATGAGACTTCTTATCTGTCTTATCCATTATGGAGCTGTTTCATCGTTTGCTTACTCATTGATTTGTTCTTGTGGGGGTAGCCACCATGCTTAAAATTCTAGAGGATATGTTTTCTAGAGAAACTGAGGTGGCCAGTTATCTGTACTGGCTATCCAAGGTAGCTGATGTATATGGAATCCTTCGGAAATCATACACAGTGGTACTTCGTTATTTTCCTGATGCGTAGATAAGCAGGAAACAACTGTGTTCTTTTTCCTTCTTAAAATGTTTTTTGTTTCTCAGAGCTTTGAATCAAGAGCCCAGAATATGGCTTGACATAGGAAAACAGTTGTTCTTACTTAGCTTAAATTAATATCCATTAAAAACTCTCTGATTTTTTTTGTATAGTCAGAAGATGGAATTGGTACCAAGGAAATCCTCACTACAGGTCATTCTACGCCAGTTCCTGATGGAAAAGATGCCATGTCTATTTTCAGTTCTGCTCCTAAGACTGGTGAGTAAAAGCTCTTTAATTTGCTCTGCAAAGCAAAAATACTCAATACTGTGTAATAAAATCTGAAAGGAAAAACCACATACTGAACATTTTACTGAACATGAGAGCTATAGACAGCTCCTCAGATGGACAGAGTTTGTTTCTGCTTGTCCTTTTTATAGTAACACAATTTTTTTGTTTGAGGTTTTTTTAGAATATTAAAGTTGAGCAATAGCTACCTTCATTCTTTCCCAGCTGACCTTTGGTGCTTGCCTAAAACTTGACTACATGGCTATTTCTAGGTCACACGATAGAAAAGGGGCTTCAGTGATTCTTGCCTGTCGCCTGTTTACAGTGAGAAGTAAAATGGAAAAAAAGGCAGTTTTGTATTAACTCTGCTCCCATTTTTCATACTTTTTTCTCTTTCTTTTTGATAGATACCCGGCAAGACAATGCTGCAGGCCGAGTAGGCTCTGGTAGCCTCACACAGGTGACAGATCTGGCTCCATCACTTCATGATCTAGATAATATCTTCGATAATTCAGATGAAGATGAGCTTGGTGTAAGTCTTTGTAGGACTGAGTGTTTGGTAGACTTAAACCTTGGCCAAAAAAAAAAAGAGGAGGATGATGGAATCCGAGTGGGGAGCGGTTATTCTTAGTAGATAGGAGACTGAGTTTCCAGATAGGCAGGCTTGGATTTTAACTAGGGAGAACTGCTAGAGGAGATCCATCAAAGAGAGAAATCATCACTGTGTATAATTCAGGAATATTAGGAGATCACTTAGGTAACATCAAAGCTTTTTGCTGTCTGGCATTTTCAGTCACTAGAGGAACCTGTATACACATAACTGCTAACAGAGTCATTGCGTGGACCAGACTATCAGAATTCTTCCATAGGTAAACCAGTGTAGTTGCTTTATAGATGTATTGCGCCTAGTTTCAAGTCCTTAGCTTTTGTCAGTATTTTGTGCTTGTTTGAGAGTTACAGAAAAGATCCTAGTTTCATTAACTGGTGATTTGTTCTTTTACCTTGTCTAAAAAGCTGCCTAAAGAAAATTAGGTTAAACCTTACTGAATTTCAGTAATTCTCTGCAGCATGTTGCTTTCTATACCTACAAGCAGTTTATTTCACTATTAAGAGGAATAGCTGCTGAATATTAGGAAATACAAAAGGAAGAGCAGATTTACATCAATTACCAGGAAAAACAATCAAGACCCATGGAAAGGCAAAGATTTGAATAATTACCGTGTTCAAGCTTAATCTAATCTAACCAGAATGATACAGAAGGTGATCCTAAACTGACTGATAGTAGATAATAGGATTTAAAAGTCTACTGCCTCGGTCTTTGCAATACTTTTCAAGTACACCAATTTATTTACCACTTTTCTCTGTTCTGTGGTTCCACGTAAACTACATTTAAGATGTTGCAGTTAACATGCAAATCTATTATCGTACTGTTCTGTCAAAATATAAAAGTACCTTTTCCTGTGCAGCTGGCCTGGGCAGATCTAATGTTCTTCCTGTCTTAAAACTTGCATGTGTGGAGCTGTCCCCTGCGATCGTCTGTTAATGGCATTCTTACTCTCAGTGGTGTATTCTCATTATTATTTTGGAGTAGTACAAACATGGAAGCAAGTAGAGTAGTCACATTAATTTCAAGCTCAGTGTTTGTGATAACATTTTCAATATAAATTATGTGTATATAGATCCATATGCTTATATGTATCTCTGTATGGGGTTGATTCTCAGAGACTTATTTTTGTTGTTTTAGTGTAGGAAGAGAGGAAAAAGAAACCCAGACTCCTGGGAGGGAATGGATGGGAGAGTAGAAAAATACACTTTTTTCTTCCTTGTGAAATCTCATTCAGAGAGTTTTCAGAGTTTTTAATAGCTTATGGATTCTAATATTACCTATGTTTTTTAACGTGGTATGTGCTTATTTTGCTTTTAGGCTGTATCACCAGCTCTTCGGTCATCAAAAATACCTGCAGTAGGGTCTGAGGAACGCCCTGTAGGGAAGGATGGTAGAACAGCAGTACCTTATCCACCAAGTGAGTAGCAACAACTGATTACCACTTTGTTAACAGTTAAAATGTCCTTGTAGCTACCATACTGCCTTTTTGTAGGCCGTAATGTGACTTCTTCTGGACTGAGAGGTTGTGTGCTTATTTTGTTCTCTAATTACCAGATGCCAATGTTAAAAGAAGACAAGCAGACTTTAATGAAAACAGTAGATTATAATATAGACATCTTTTTGATGTGCCTGCAGAGATTTGGGATGCTCTTGGTAGTATGGGAGGGATTTGTTACATGTCTTCATTTAGAATCTATCCCCTCTATTCTCAATTCAGTATTTAATGTGAGTTACTCACACCATTACCACACCTCTCTTTAAGTATGTATCATTCTTCTTTTTGAAGAATTCAGTGAACTTAAATCTGGGACTTACCAATTGGCCATTATGGTGCAACCCATCTTCAAAGAAAATTACACTTGGCATTGAACAAATTCAGACTAAACTCACCTTCAGGGTTTAATCTAGATGTGGAAATGCAGGATTAAAATCATTTCTAAGTGAAGATGCATTGTGGACCTTTTACAGATGGTTATGGTAGAAATGACACTTGTGCAGGCACTACACACATACAAGTAAGGCTATCGGAGTGCAGGAAACTTAGAAATTAAATTTAGTATGCTGAAAATGTATGAAACAGACTAAAACAATAGGACTTTTTAAAGGACATTCCCAACTATTGAGAATGATAACTTCTGTTCTCTGAGATACATGGGATTTCTTGAACCTGAAAGGAGGATGTAGTGAGGTGGGGGTTGGTCTCCCAAGTAGCAAGTGGTAGGATAAGAGGAAATGGCCTCAAGTTGTGCCAGGGGAGGTTTAGATTGGAAATTAGGAAAAATTTCTTCACTGAAAGGGTTGTTGAGCACTGGAAGGGGCTGCCCAGGGAAGCGGTGGAGTCACCATCCCTGGGAGTATTTAAAAGACGGGTGGATGTGACACGTAGGAATGTGGTTTAGTGGTGGACTGGGCAGTGTTAAGTTTACGGTTGGACTCAATGATCTTGAAGGTTTTTCCCAACATGAGCAGTTCTGTGATTCTGTTCATGTAGGTGGCATTTCTCTTGATGAACAAGAAATGTGTATATGTATGTGTGAGAGGAGGAAAGTGATATTTTTTTGTATAATACTAACCAATCAAATTATGAATTACAAATTACTTAGTGGTGAGGAGGAAGAATGGCTGATTTTTGTGGCTGCTGTAAGCAGAAATCAAATCTATCTGCAAATCATTCTTTAATGCCTTCTCATTAACTTTAGCTGGTAATGAGAACAAATTGAGGAGAAGAAAAAAAACCAGTCTGAAGGAGATGAGTCAGAGTTTTATGAACCCATAAAAGCTGTGCTGCTTTATTCAAATGTAGAAGTCTGAAGTATACAGAGATTGGATTTTGACAGGTTTAGTTGATCCATAGCTTTTTAAAATATGCAAAGCTTTTTCAAGCATGACACACATGAAAATGAATAATGATAGTTAGCCTGTTGCTGTAGGGTTGGGGGATTTTTTGTAATTAAACTTTTTTATGAATCTGCACTGCAGAATTTTGCTAACTGGAGCGAGCCTGTGTGTGAGAAAATGCTATACTATAGAGCTGTAGGGAATAAGTTAAATAGCTACGCTCCTGTTTTGTAGCTATCCCCTTGACACCAGCTGTCGAGGCATAACAGTGTCTGCAGGGAACTGAAATGCCTTGTACGTCATAATAAAGTCCAACTGACCACATTTCATTTTAACCTTCCTTCCTGTCCCACTTTCTCCAATTCCTAAAGCTCACTTCTCGTTGAAAAACAGAGGCAGTAGCTAATCCACATGGCATCCTGAAGATTATATTTCATATTAGCATTGGGTGGAAAGTAGTTTTTTCCGTTCTACTGAACCTCTTTTCAACATTAATTTATCCGGTATCAGGACAAGACTAAGGTCAATTAAATTCAAAGACTGACAAAGGGAGAAGAAAAAAACCAAGCCAAAAACCAAACCCCAAAACAACAGAGTGGGAATGATTATACTCCAGGTTGTGAAAGACTTTGGGCTCAGCTTTGACTGTTACTACCAACAGAAATCCATTTTGAGAGGACTTCACTTATTTGTGTTGTGTCACTTTGTCTTTTCCTCATCTCTGTGCAGAAAAGAACGACATTCAGGTTTTGGCTCTGTTAATTAAGCACATCTTGAGGTTGCAGCATCCTACAAAAATGTCCTGTTGGTGCTTATGTTAATATACAATATATAATTTTAATTCCATCACTTATTTCTCTCTTTTTCGGTTACTTTTTGGGAGTAGTACTATGTTTCACTAGCTTGGATTTCCATAATGCAGTGTTTACCAGTCAGAAATTCATCTGTATTTATGAATTTTCTATGATCTTTAGGCTGCAAAAGTTATTGAATACAAGTATGTTCTTGTGTCCTGTCAACTCAGGTTGGATGGATGTGTAGGAATGGAAATGGAATTGGGCATTTAGTCTTTCAGAAGAAGTATTTAAGCAACACCTATGGGAATTGTACCCTCCTCTAATTTGAGTATTTTAACAGTGAATTCACCAGAGTGATGGTTGTGTCCAGAGGATATCTGTCCTAATTCAAGTCAGGCAAAGATAGCATGTCTTCTGAATTTTAAGCAAAATAAATCCTGAAGCTGGTAGCTGGGAGGAAAAAGAATGTAGCTGGGGAGAAAATGCAGGACGGTTCTGATCTTTGTTTAGTTACTTTATAAAGCATTTCTGTTGGGGTTTTTTGTTTCTTTTGCTTAAAGAAGAAAAATATGTGATGAGTGATTGTATTACATTCATTTACTGAGAAGTAATTTAGGGATTTTCCTGGCTTAATGTCTTGTGATGCAAAATTATAATTTCGTGGCTTCCTCTGACACTTACCACTTTTGGATGCCTGGCAGTCTGATTCTCAGGGAACATTGCCTGTGTTTGTGTTAGCAACAGTAGCCTGTCCTCTCTTCAGGAGTTATGTCGCTATGGACCAAATGAGACCACAATGACTGTATGTCAGTGGAAAAATGCAGCTAAGTGTATGCTAATCCTAAAAGCCTCCTGTTTTAGGGCTTTCTATCAGCTCTAAAAAAGGGAAGAAACTACTCTGTATCTCCTTAGTAACAGTTGCTGGAGTGAACGTCGCATTAATGTCAATTAATTCTTCAATTACGAAATATTTTTTGACGCTGTTAAAATTGTACTTAGAATTTGTGCATCTATCAGATGTTTTTTTTCTGCTTAACAATGAGCTTGCAAATTATCCTTCGGAATTTTTGTATTTTTTACCCTAGGAGTTAACTTTCTCTCTAGATTTATACTGGTGGCAGAACTCTGTAGGATCTTTACTAGGTTTTAACTAATGAAATAAGAGCTAGTATTGAGTTAGTCTCGTCTGTGTTATTTTATTTCCTTGAGAATTTATATTTTAATGATTAACAGTGCATTATTTCATCATATTTAGCTGTGGCAGATCTCCAAAGGATGTTCCCAACACCACCCTCTTTAGAACAACACCCTGCCTTCTCCCCGGTAATGAGCTATAAAGATGGAATAAGTTCAGAGACTGTGACTACCTTGGGAATGATGGAAAGTCCCATGGTCAACATGGTTCCAACACAGCTTGCTGAGTTTAAAATGGAGGTGGAAGATGGCTTAGGTAGCCCTAAACCTGAAGAAATTAAGGTAACATGCCAAAGATGTGGTATTTTTATAGTCTCATCCGTGTATGTTTTGATCTGATTACGAGTCACACGTATTGCCGTGTGTGTAGCAGACTACTTTAGCAAATGCGAATGGGATCCATATAAAGTACATTATTGGTCTTTAATTCGAAAAACAATTCTTCTCTAGTAAAAGTGGTTTTTAATTATTTCCCTGATTTTAACTGTCGCTATTTTTCTTCTCGTAATTTTGTTTGTAATGTTTTTGGGTGTTCTCAGGAAAGAAACTATATTGTATGTGAAATGAGCCCTATGCCTAACAGAAAGAATGTATGTATATGAAAAAATATCATACTTGTGACTAATGTTAAATGATTTATTTCTTCAGATAATTTTTCTGTAGCACCTTTTATGTATAGCCACTCCTTGCTGCCAGTCTCTGGGAATGCAGCTTGGATAAAATCATGCATGTAGAAAGGCTGCCTTTTTCTCTCTGAAATGTTGCCTTTTTTGGTTAGGGTTGAAAATCTCTGAGAAAGCCCAGGGGTTGAACTTGCTCTGTTTCTTCTTCAGCTGATGTTACTTCACAAGTTTTAAGGCCAGATGGGACCATTCTTATCTGACTTTCTGTATAACACAGGTCAGGTAATGTCACATAGTTACTCCTATATTGAGTCCTATAGTGTATCTGAGTAAAGAACTATTTTGAAGTGGGGACTCTGCTGCTGGGTACTAGTACTCACCTCCCTGACTTTACATATCAAGACGTATCCATTTTTCCATAGCATCACATAAATGAACTTAACATAAGCACCTAGTGTACATTGATTTGTATTTCATTGTTCCATCTTTAGCACAGGTTAAGAGGTAGGATAAAATCATTCTGCCTGCTTGTGTGTATTCTGCATTACTTAACTTTTTGGGCCAATTTTTTGTCACTTTTGTCAGAAACTATCGTTATCATATTTCCATGCATATTATAGCCTGAGGGTTTTTTTCTTTTAAAAATGCACATTTCCGTGTGGAAATACACATCACCTTGTTCTGCAGCAAGCTCATTTGTATGCAGGTAATAAAAAGGGAGATAACACGGTATAACTGTCTTCCTGGTAGTCCCCAGCCCTTGATTTTATAGCCTGATTCTTCTCCTTCAGGCTCACCCTGTCCCTAATCTGCCACAGCCTGTTCCTTCTATTTCAGCAGCCATTTCTCTCCCCCACACCACCTCCTTCCCTCGCGTTTTGTGCTCCTGTGAAAGTTGGAATTAACTGAAGGCTTATTTTTAAGGATCTGCATTGCTGAGAGCACTATGCATGGAAAGATACAGCACTTGCAGTTGCATGGACAAGAAGTGGCTATATATCAATACGAGTATACTGATATATAAATTTACCTTAGTATAAATTATTTAGTCAGATATGAATTAGTAAATTTTCCTGTGTGGCAGTAGTATACCTCAGGCAGACTGAAAGTAAAGCACAGAAAGCCACAGGGTGACTTTCTCCCAAAGAGCATTCAGTTTTGGCCTTGGGAGAGGAGGAAGACCCTGTCCTTGGGTAAAGTAAGGCAGCTTGGGGTTGTGTCTCCTTGTTGCGCTCAGATGCATCTAGCCAGAACCAGGAGGTACCCACTCGCAGGGCTGCACGTTAAGCTGACACCTGTGAAGGGCCTGAGCTGGTAGAGAGCTTTTACAAACAATTCTGTTGGGAAAGAGAGACTCTGCAAAGGTGTAAGGGAGTCAGGTTTTGGTGTGCCCCTCGTGAAGACAGTTCCCCACCTGGAAAGCCAGGCAAGGTTCCTTGGTTATTGCAAGATCTCTTCTTCCTTCTGTCCTCACTTCACGACTTGAAGGCATGATGAGAAAAAGCATCTTCTTAGAGGCTTTACTGAAGTACAGCTGTCTATTTGGCTTGTATAGTTAGCCATCACAGAAGTTTGAAATAAATTTTTAATGAGGTTTGTAAGACATTACCTTGCCACAGACCTTGCTGGGATTTTTTTTTTCTTCTGTTTGTGCAGCGAACTACTTGCTTAGGACTAGGATAACTTGGGCCTGGAAAGAAAATCCGTATTGGAATTTGCTGAGCTGAGAGTTTTTGAGTAGGAACAGATTTTAGGGCATCATTGATACTGAAGATATTTTAATCTCCCTCACAACCATTTTAGGAGTATTAAAATACATATTCTAATTCTTCCTGATAACATTTCCAACAGCACGGTTTACTTGCTTTTAAGTGTGTCACACCTGCTCATATACACCAGTGGGGAAACAAGCACCTAAACCCATTGCTAATCATTTTGAGAACATGTAAGTAGATTCCCTGTGCTGAGTCTTCAGCAGCTGAAGATAGCAATCCACACATTTCTCATCTCTCAATGCTTTACAAGGTGCAAGGGAAAAAATGCAAAGATCTAAGTTGTTAAATACTGAAATTCTGAGACTACTGTTACTATTGTAATAATGATTTTTACTTTGCAGTAGTGCCTCAGAAGGCACTTTTCTTCTGAAAGAAACTTGGAATAGCTCTAAAAATCTGGCTGAAGTTCTTGTCATCATTCTCTGCAAACAAACATGACAATCCATGAAAGTCCAGTTTGACTGAACTTCATTTATATTTACATTTAATATTATGTTTACTAAATTTTTATATATTTAAATGCAATACTATATTTATATTTAATATTTCAAATGTGTAAAGTGTCTGCTGTTATTACCTGAGTTATATTAAACCCCAACATAGGAGAGGCTGACTTAAGGCACCAGAGGTTGCTTCCCAATGTGACTCAGCCTCTCTCTTCACTGTCAGTATAAAATTCTTGCAAAGATCAGTCTTGTAAGTGCCAAAATTAGGCACTTCTCAGTTTAAAAAGGAGCCTCAGCTGAGTTTCCTTGAAGGAACTGCCCTTGAATGTTTTGTAGAATGAATAAGTATACTCAATTTTAGAAGAAATACAGTTGTAGAGGGTTCAAACAGTACAATAGGTTTTAATTAAAAATAAATACCTATATATGAAGAGCAACATTTACCATATTGTTGTAAATAATGTCACTTGGATGTTGCAGGATTTCTCCTATGTGCACAAAGTTCCATCATTTCAACCTTTTGTGGGCTCCTCTGTATTTGCTCCACTGAAGATACTGCCAAGTCAGTGCCTCCTACCTCTGAAGATACCAGATGCCTGCATTTTCAGGCCTTCTTGGGCTGTTCCTCCTAAAATTGAACAACTTCCTTTGCCGCCTGCAGCCACTTTCATTAGGGATGGCTACAAGTAAGTATGGTCTTCTAGGAAATTAGTTTGTTGTGCCCATACCTAAAATGGCTCATTAATTAATTTTTTTGCATCTAGTAACAGTACTTTACTATGCACCAGGACCATAAAATGTCGTGCAAATGTATTTCAAACCTTTTAAATTTGTCATTGTCTCAAATCAAAGAAGTTCTGATAGCAGGATTGTTTGAATTGAACAACAGCTTTTGGAAATTGGTGGTGTTACAGTACGTGTCTGCTATACTCTCAATGGTTTTAAAAACACAGCAGCATGTGGTACTTGAATTACTTGCAAGGAAAATATTGTAATTAAACATAAACCCGAAGTGTTAAGGAATAAAATTAATGCCCTTAACCTCCCACATCTCTGTCCTCCCATGTCGGTGCCCAGTTCTCCAGCTTGCAGCCAGGCTCCCCCCGTGTACCTGTGTATTCAATTTGAGTTTCAGTCTGATGACATCTGGTCCTGGTGATTCCCATTTGCCTTCTGAGGGCTCTGGACATTTTGGGAAGGCCTGTGACAGCCCTCATGTCCATGTTCTCGTGGTAGCTCTTCTGAGTTCTTGTGATTCAACCTGAATGGGTCACATACGGAGCTGCTAATCAGGCAGATCCTCATTGGATGGATGCTGTCCTCCCTTTTCTAAATACTAAAAGAAAAGATGCCAAGTCTCTCTTCAGTGTGGGAGTGCTGTGACCTAAAAACAAAGACTGCAATTAAATTTAAAAGCTTGTATTCCTTACTTAGTTCTCAGAAATTAGCAGTGTTTATGGAAGAAATTAATTGCTGGAGATTTTGACAGCTGTCAAGAATTTGCACCGTTAAATTAATAAAATCTCTTAAAAGGGATAATAATAGTACAACGGTCTCCTGCTGCACTGCATTGATTTCTAGAGGAAGTAGCCTGTATCTTTAAATCAGTCTATAAATCCTTTAAATCAGTCCTTTTCCAGCTCCAAAGGATCCTTTGGTGTTCTCAAAAGAATTGCAGAAAATAAATTGTAAACCCTTGATAGTGCCTAGGGAGCAGTTTAATTCTGAGGTTTTTTTCATAATAGTAACTGATTCACCAGGCCTGAGCTGGTTATTAATTCCACGTATTTGTTGGGGAAAAGAACCCTTTCATTTTCAGTATAATCCAATTAGAGTGAAGATTATTACTGCAGGCTTCCGACAGAGTGATTGCCAATCAAGGTTTCTAGGTCACCTTTTCATATTAGTCTGAGGCATTCAGTATGCTTCAGATTCAGGACTCCTTCAAAACTTTATTTTCTTTCCCTCTCTTGCTCTGAGTTGGACATACATCAGTTCAAGGTAATTAAATGATTCTAAGGAATAAGTGCTGTTTTCCTTTTCAAGTCTCTAATGATATGTAAGCATTGAAACAGTACTCCTTTTAAATAACACCCAAGTACACAGTAAGAACAAGCAAACATGAAAAAACCTGTTTCCCCTACTTTATCAAGAGATTCATTTGAGTTCTTACATTTTTTCCTTGCCCTACTACGTAATGAACACATTTCAAGAGAAGGGAGCAATTTATTAGCAACTTGGAAAAAGTAAATTAAAGATCTTATTCTTTTGATTGGCCCCATGTTAACTGTCTCTTGACATAAGTCATTCCAAAGAGAAGTCAGATCTCATGGGAATGAACAAACTGTTCTTTGGTCACTTAGATTTGGCAGAAAATGACAAAAACAGAGTAATAAAAAGTAGTCACGACAGAAGGTGACCCAAAACTATCTTTCTTAGCTGTACTGGACTGAGAGCTTGTAATGGAATGTGCCATATTGTGCTGTATACCATGTAATCCGAAATGAGGATTTGCATTTCTAGTATCTGAAATACTGTTATCAGTTGCGTACCACCATGAGGCAGTATTGTATATGTGCCACTTGCATGACTTCTTACAGCTATTTAAGCTGATAATATCTAAAATAAAGTAAGATTTCTATGCCTCTGAATGATTTTCTTCATTTCCACTAACATCTCTTCACAGATAATTCTGTTTAAAACAACCTCTCAGTTTTTTCTCTTTTCCCTAAAAGAGTTACAAATATCCTAAAATCTGAACTTGATAATTTATCTAGAGATTCTTCTCAAGACCATTTGAGTTTTAGGCCTTGGGAATAATCTTTAAGAGGGCTAAGTTCCTGAGATGATACCTTTTTATTATACTGATAAGAAATGACGGTGTTCATGATGAGAATTACAATTTCAGTTGAGAGACATGAGTAAAAGGTTATGAGCAGAATGTCTGAAGGTGTTCTCTATTTACTGCAGTTTCATTGAATCCTTTCAGTTTTCACCATCTCCTTGTATTTAAAAATAAGTTTTGACAAAATCAGTCTTCACAACCAACCAGTTTGTGATGGCATTTGACTCTGGTTTTTTCTTCCATTTCTTGTAGCAATGTGCCTAGTGTTGGGAGTTTGGCTGACCAAGACTATCTTCAGATGAACACTCCTCAGATGAATACACCTGTGATGCTAAATAGCACTGCTCCAGCCAGCAACAGTGGAGCAGGAGTTCTGCCATCACCAGCAACTCCCCGCTTCTCTGTCCCCACCCCACGCACTCCCAGGACTCCAAGGACTCCTAGAGGTGGGGGTACTGCGAGCGGTCAAGGATCTGTAAAATATGACAGCACAGATCAAGGTTCACCTGCTTCTACCCCTTCTACAACACGACCGCTTAATTCTGTGGAGCCAGCCACTGTCCAGCCGATCCCCGAAGCCCACAGCCTGTACGTCACCTTGATTCTTTCAGACTCGGTCTTGAACATCTTCAAAGACCGTAACTTTGATAGTTGCTGTATATGCGCCTGTAATATGAATATTAAAGGTGCAGATGTCGGATTATACATCCCAGATTCTTCTAATGAAGATCAGTACCGTTGCACCTGTGGCTTCAGCGCTATTATGAACCGGAAATTAGGTTACAACTCTGGGCTTTTCATTGAGGATGAGCTGGATATTTTTGGCAAGACCTCAGACATCGGCCAAGCTGCAGAAAGACGACTGATGATATGTCAAAGCAACTTGATCTCTCAGATGGGAGAGGGAGCTCGAAGGACCCAAGAACCTCCCATGAGCCTCCTCCTGCTCCTCCAGAATCAGCACACGCAGCCTTTCACATCTCTGAGCTGCTTGGATTACATGTCCTCCAACAACCGGCAGACGCTCCCGTGTATGAACTGGAGTTATGACAGGCTGCAGGCAGACAGCAACGACTCCTGGATAGAGTGCTTTAATGCCCTTGAGCAGGGCAGACAGTACGTGGACAACCCCACCGGTGGAAAAGTGGATGAAGCCCTAGTAAAAAGTGCCACTGTACATTCTTGGCCTCACAGCAATGGTATGGGTCAGAACAGATTTATTTTTCTTTGAATTATTTTGTGTTCTCAATTTGTTTGCAAGTTGCCAATTGTGAGCCACTTAATCTTTATGAGGGAAATGATACGCATAAAAATATTTGAGAAATAAAGTCGATTTCTGAAAACTTTATAAATTATATCTAAAGTCCCAGTAGTCCAGTTGTCCTTAGACTTTGTGGTCTGGATTATGTAAGAATCTGGAAGTTCGCAAATCTGAAGCAGAGATGCAAAACAAATTCAGGTATTGAGGAGAGGGCAGATTTATGGCCCCTATTTTTTTGAGAAGGGTATATGCAGTCAGCAGAAAAGAACTGCTTTATATGAAAGTGTCACCAAGGGAGAAAAAAGAAGTGATTTTATAATCAAATACTAGCTGTTTATATGCTGAAGATGCTCTGACTTCTTATGAACTGAGCTGGACAACAGTAGCATTGAAAGGTATGTGAAAAGGACTGTGATGACAGCTTTATTTCAGTAATGTTTTCATAAAGTACCACAGTAAATGCCATTAAGCTAATTATACTTGTGCAAATTCATTGTGAAGAGCAATGCAAAGGAACAATCAGGCAGAAAATGTTGCCACCTCAAAATAATGCTTCCTATTCCTCACTGAAAATGACTGATGCTTCTTTGTCATTTGCAGTACTGGATATCAGCATGCTCTCCTCCCAGGACGTGGTGCGCATGCTGCTGTCACTGCAGCCCTTTCTCCAGGATGCCATCCAGAAGAAGCGAACAGGAAGGACCTGGGAGAACATCCAGCACGTGCAGGGACCGCTCACCTGGCAGCAGTTCCATAAGATGGCAGGACGGGGAACCTATGGTACATACGTTGTGTTCTGTGCCAACACTTGAAATGAAAGCAGAGTTTTCTAGAAATGTGCACTTTCTTCTGGAAATACCTTAGAACAAATGGGCTCTACAGATAGCTTGGGTGGGGGGTAGTCTTTTCACATAGCTTTAAAATGCCTTAAAAGGCATTCGAAGCACAGGCTATAGTGGAGGTTTTACCCTTCCAGCTTGATGAATATTTACAGAGTGCAAAAATGCTGGGTGAGGATTAAACTTCCTGTCTGAGTGTGTAATTTGGCTTGTACTGAAGCTAGCTGCTGTATAAATAACACGAAGAGAGGAAGCAGTTAAACGTGTGCCATGTCATAATGGGGAAGAGGGGCTTTCTCAGTGGTACAAATACACAAAAAGTGGGTATGCTTTCTCCACAAAGAAGTTTGCTTGTTCTAAGGCTTCCCATAGTCTTAATAAGAAGATTCAGTTTAAGTATCTCCTGGTTATAAGTGATACTTCTGGAAAAAAACAAATTACAAAATAGATTTAGTATGTGCACATTTGTAAAATAATGACTGACGTTTAAATATGTATTTCTCTCTGTAATTTATTTCAGTCTTAACTGATGCGGTCTTGCTTAGTTTTTTTTCTACAGTTCCATGATGCTTTGCTTTGTTTTCTCTCTGTTGGTATTTGATATATTCCGACTTTCCTTTGGGACTAGGACAACTTGTGGTAACTACACTTCCCATCTAAAGCTATTGTGCTTCGCAAGGAGTACTTCTAATCTAATCATTTTTCCAACATTTGTAACTTAAAAGAGTTAGGATTTGCCAATTGTTGCAAGAGAATAAAACCAAAATTACCATATGGTAAGTAGCAGAGCCTTTGATACAGATTCAGTAATTTTTAGTGAATGTAGACTGTTTCATAAAGTTATGTTATATTCTGCAGAAACTACTGGGTATATTTTCACTGAAAATTTTCAACAATATTTCTCCTAATGAGCACAGTGTCAGGGAGATACTGTGTAAAGTGACCGGTAGTCTGCTCAGCTGTAGCAGCAAGGGTTTGAGCACTTCCTGTGGAGAGGAACGGGAGGCAATTTTAATAATTTTGCTTAGTTATTTGCTTATATTATTTATTTATTTACTAAGCAAATCATATCTGTATTTGCTTAGTATTAATAGAACTGGCAATAAGTTTGCCTAACCCTTTAACTTAGTAATTTTGAACAAATGAAGAACTATAAAAACAGATTTTTTTGTGTTCTTACTACTTTTGATTGAGCAGGAACTAGTGAGATGTGGTTATGGTTATGACAAAGTAAACCCATGAGATTAAGCCTCAGGAAGGGCAGTATGTGTATTTACAGTATACTGAAAGATGTTTCGCTCTAACTTTCTAGGAAGGTTTAAATGGTGCTTGGATCGGCTTCCTCTGCTTTGGCTGACTGAACTTGGATTTTATGACATTTCTTAAGTACAGTATAAATCTTCCTTCTCCTTTATTAAATATTTTTTTCCCAAGGAAAAAGACCGTGGGAGAGCATGGTTTATCAGGCATGATACAGCCTCGATATGTGCTTCCACACTGTGGTCAAACTTCTAGGAAACTCAGCATGGCAGGGGATTAGTGATTTCCAGTATTCTGGTAAAAATCACGCTTGTTCGTACACCAGGGAACCCACTGCAGTTAAACCAGTTATTTTAACATTTTTTTCTTTCTTTTTTTTTCTCTTTGAAGGCTCTGAGGAATCTCCTGAGCCTCTTCCAATCCCGACTTTACTCGTGGGCTATGACAAGGACTTCCTGACAATCTCTCCATTCTCCTTGCCATTCTGGGAGAGGCTGTTGCTAGACCCATATGGGGGCCATCGGGATGTCGCCTATATCGTGGTGTGTCCAGAAAATGAGGCCTTGCTCGATGGAGCCAAGACTTTCTTCAGGGACTTGAGTGCTGTATATGAGGTTGGAAAGAGGAACTACACTCATTTATTTATTCTTCAGTGTCATTTCTGCTCTAGTGCACATTCATTGAGAGAAATCCATGTTTTTTTAAAGCAGCAGTTATTTGACTAAGGATGTCTTTCATTTTGAGGACTTTCTGCACTTTCAGAGTCCAAGAATACTATCTAATTGAGTTGTATTGTAATTCTCTATGCATTTAGGGCTATTTGTTGCCATCTGCTCTTTCCAGTACATGCTCTCTTCTTTTACAGTGGATACAACACTAGAATTAATACAGTTGCAACCTAACGCATTAAGGCCACATCAAACCTAGAAAGCAAGAGGCAGATTAAAGAAACTGTTGCTTTCTTGTAATTGCCAGGCTGGAGATAACACTTTTTTTTTTAAGCACACATACTGTATACTATTGAATATGTAAGATTACTTTGTAACCTTAGTTTTGCTGAAAGGGCAATTCAAGTCAACAGGTAAACGGAGCCTTTTGGGTTTATAT